TCTTCCCATTGCCTTTCAGTCCCGGCCCCTGGTGCTTCAGCTCCGACCCGGTGGACAGGGGCAGCCTGTGCTGGAATGAGGTCATTTACCCCGTGGGTAGTTAGGACGGAGTCTGATGAGAAGGAACATCCTTCTGGGTACCAGAAGGCATGGGTCTGGTGCAAAAGGCAACCAGTCTCTTTGGTGAGAGCGCTGGGCGGGGCTCGGCCGTTTCTCTAGGCGATTTCAGTGGCAGGGACCTCGGGCTTCACGGAGCTTCCATGTGGCAGTTTATCTTTCTGTCATGAAATTGTGGTTTGATATGATTTTCAATGACCAAGAGTAACTTAAATTGTACCAGGTAGGATTACAGCGGTCTCCTCCATCTTATGTTGCTTGGAGAGCTGAATGGTGGGCTGTCTCAGGTTTGTTTCCCTGTGTGGCCTCTCCTAATAATTTAAAACCTAATTTAGTGCTAAGGAATTATTTACACTCACAGCTCCCTGTGTGTCCAGGAGGGTCTAGCTGCAAACACTGAGAGGGTAGATGAAACCCCGTTTTCTACTGCACTCCTGCTCATGTCTAAGGTGGACTAAGTTTTGCAGCAGGGAAAGTGTGTGTGGTGTGCACATGTGTGTGAGAGTGTGTGCACACGTGTGTGAGAGAATATGCTCGTGTGTGCATATGTGAGAATGTGCATGTGTGTGGATATGCACGTGCGTGCACATTGTGTGAGGATGCATTGTGTGCACATGTGTGAATGCACACCACGCATATGTGTGGGTGTGTACATGCATGTGTGTGTGAATGTGCATGCGTGTGAACGTGTGTGCATGTGTGAATGTGCACATGCATGTGCACATTGTATGAGAATGTGTGTGTGTGTGAATGTGCACGTGTGTGTGACTATGAACGTGTATGTGTGTGCATGTGGGTGTGGGTGTGTTTCAGGACGCATTTCCATGGCACTGAAGCTAAGTTAAGTTAAGTCTCATGGACGGAGAACATGCTCTCCTGGCTTCTAAAAGTACATGATTATCCACTGCCTTACTGTGAATGGCATTAAGCTATTAGTTAAAGTAAAATCTCCCACCAGAAGGAAGGTTTTCTGCTACTAAGAGAGTAATCTGCCACCCCAGAACAAGCGCGTTGGGGTGATGGCACCTTGGGGTAGTGCACAGCCTGCATGGACACCCCGGAATGGGCACCACACGCAGAAATTCGTGGCCCCTGGCAGTCACCCCCACAGCTGATGACCACGTTTCACATGAGACCCCACAGTCTCCATTTGGCACCAGATCGCTTCTGTATGAATCTGGCCGCTGCATATTTTCATTTCTTTGAAACAAAGAGTAAGAAACCCATTTTTAATTGTTCTTAGAAGAATGTGAGAAAACCTACTTTTCACATAACTTAACTTTAACACGTTTAGCTGCGAATACATGAATCCGATGAAATGCCATCGTTCAGAGCTTTTAACAAGGAATTAAATACTTACGCCATGATGCCTGAGAGGTGAAACATTTCGGCTGTGATATAGGACAAGTAGCTGTACAGGAAGACAAAGAGTGGCTCGATCACCCGTATGTTGTGTGTGAACCGCGTGGTAAATGCCGCTATGAATCCCAGGAAGATGCCGATCAACATGCCGCCGATGCCCACAACAAAGAAGTTGGCAATCCCGGCAAACACGTCAACAGTCTCAATGGTCTTCATCTGGCAGAAGGACTTGAACAGGTTGTACAGGACCTGTGGGGAGGGAGTGCATGGTCATGGTCAGCTTTTCCAGCCTCCCTTCCCCTTCCCTCCCCTTAACCCTTCAGTCTT